TCCTCCCACAGCCACGTCCGTCCTCTTCCTCCACAGCCACGTCCGTCCTCTTCCTCCACAGTCACGTCCGTCCGCTTCCTCCACAGTCACGTCCGTCCTCTTCCTCCACAGTCACGTCCGTCCTCTTCCTCCACAGTCACGTCCGTCCTCTTCCTAAATTGTCAGGTCCGTCCTCTTCCTCCATAGTCACGTCCGTCCTCTTCCTCCATAGTCGCGTCCGTCCTCTTCCCCCATAGTCGCGTCCGTCCTCTTCCTCCATAGTCGCGTCCGTCCTCTTCCCCCATAGTCGCGTCCGTCCTCTTCCCCCATAGTCGCGTCCGTCCTCTTCCCCATAGTCGCGTCCGTCCTCTTCCTCCATAGTCACGTCCGTCCTCTTCCTCCATAGTCACGTCCGTCCTCTTCCTCCATAGTCATAGTCACTGTGACGTCTTTTATCTCCAGCAGATGATGATACACACATATATAGTGTGGGAACCCAGATGAACCCCTTCAGGGGCACAACATTCCCCCACTTCCGGGGCCGGAACATTCTCCTCATTGTGGAGATAAATTCTAGTAATATGGTCCTCTAAACAAACAGCACTGACAATAAATAGACAAGACAAGGACCATCCTGACCATACATGGCCTACAAAGGGCAATGATGACACTACACAGGCAGCCAATGGGCAATCATTACACTATGCAGCCAACACAATGATGGAGTGCCGGGGTCAGGAGTATGGAGCATAGAGCCCCTTACATTGCTGCTCAGGAGGAAGGAAACATTCCCCAGCCGGCCATGAAGAATATGTTCCATCATTGGTGTCAGAGGGAGGGAAATACTGAGGGGTCTGAGGGAAGTAGAGGAACTGAGGGGTCTCTGAGGAAGTAGTGGGACTAAAGGACTCTGGGAGCCTCTGGAGGTTTACTGCATGGGAAGGACTCTGGGACCTCTGAGGAGGAAGAGTAGCTGAAGGAATGTTGGGTGCCTTTTACAAAGTAATACGACTCTGAAACAACTGTAAGAGATTAGTGGGGCTGAAGGGTTGTGGGGCCCCAGTGGTAGTTAGACTGCAAGGCTCTGAGGTAAGAGGGGGCTTTAGGGTTCATAGGAACTCTTGGTCTCTGATGGTCCTCCAACCCCACCTTCACTTACTTTTCTGACCTCCTTTAATGACTCCTGCCAGCACGTGAAGGAAGTCCTCACCTCACCATCTCACTGGTCAAGAATTGACTGTGGGACACAAAATAGATCAAGAAATAAACCCCTCTCCCTGCTGTGTACAATGTCCTCCTCTTGGTGTCTGGACTACTGGGTTGCCATCGGAAGGAAGAGAACAAATTCCTCCCCCACAGCTCTCTACTACACCAGCAGCATCTTCCTGCTATCCAATCAATCCATGCAGAGAATGACAGTGACATCACTCCTGTCAGTCAGCAGGCTGCTTGAGATCATAGGCTTGCAGCCGGAGTTCTGCCAATTATCCTGATAGCCGGCAACTCCAGCAAAAATCAGCAAGTTCCCCTTCCTGGACATCATGATGACCCGACATTGACCTCACAGCACTGCCTCAGAGCAAACAAGTCATAGGAAGGATCATATTTATCATTCCTTGTCTGCAGATCTAAAACTCATCAAAACCAGTTCAGAGACCAAACAAACCCAACAGAGAAAAGGGGATTTCTGATCTGGTAGGTTAAGAGGGTCCCGGGACCTTAAAATGTGTAAAACACCTAAACAGTCCAAACTAAATGTCTTCCCATGGGGGGAGTAGTTCTTCAATGTCCAGCAACCCTCCTATTCCCCCCTCACATCCACATCCTATTATTGTGTGACCAATACCATCCAAATCATTCTTACTTTCATTTCCCAAAGTTATCCGTCTACAAGGAGACCTGTATAGATCACATGATGGCACCAATGAGGATGGAGGAGGACCGGAGTCACATGACTGAGAAGATACTAAACCTCACCCTGGAGATCATCTACCTGCTGACCGGAGAGGTGAGGAGGATTCTGGGAGGTCACATGACATCACTCTATCTCTATTAATAAAACACAGACCTGACCGGAGAGGTGAGGAGGATTCTGGGAGTCTAACATGACAGAGGTATTCCTATTCTTCCTCTATACAGAGATTTCCTCCTCTGAGAGTGAGGTGATCATATGAGGTCACAGTGACCCATCATGCATGTGACTCCCTAAACCCTGAGAGACACAACATGCAGAAGATTCTAGAAGTCACCAAGAAGATGATGGAGCTGCTGACAGGAGAGGTGAGCGGAGCCGGGAATTCTGGGACATTCTCCAGTAACAGACAAGGGATGTGTCTGGATGGTGACTGTATCATTGTGTGTGTCAGGTTCCTATAAGGTGTCAGGGTGTCACTGTCTATTTCTCCATGGAGGAGTGGGAGTATTTAGAAGGACACAAGGATCTCTACAAGGACGTCATGATGATGGACAATCAGCCGCCCCTCACATCACCGGGTAAGAGGAGACTTTATTGTAAAGGAGAGAGCAGTACGGAGGATCCACCTAGATCCCCCATCATCTGATAAACACATAGAAACAATGGATTCAGTCAGTGTGTGTGTTTCCTACAGATGGATCCAGTCATGGGAACCCACCAGAGAGATGTCCCCGTCCTCTGTATTCCCGGGATTCCACACAGGAAGGTCACACCCATCCCTCACCATCATCAGGTAGATGAGGACAATTCAATCACTGATAGTATCATTAGGATCTGTACATTATCTGCATTGTTACCATTGATGTCATTTTTATTATATATTTTCAGAGTGGAAACCTCGGAGATAATAAAGTTGAGGTTAAAAGAAGAGATAAAGAGGAGGAGGATGAGGATGGGGGGATGGAGGAGTCAGGGCTTCTAAAAGTTTTCAGAAGGGACACAAGGATATGGTGGAGTCATCCAGCTACAGGAACCCACCAGAGAGATGTCCCCGTCCTCTGTATTCCCGGGATTCCACACAGGAAGGTCACACCATCCCTCACCATTACAAGGTCTGTGACATCAAGGAACATGACATCTAGAAATGGACTCCTAGAGACAATGTGTGGATTTTTTAGATGTGATGTCACAATTTAAAGCTTATGTTTTAGAGATGATATTTTCTCTCATTTTTTCTTGATTTAGAGTGAAGATCTGATCGATATAAAAGTTGAGGTGAAAGCAGAAGAAGAAGAGGCGTATGTGAGGGATGATCAGCAGTCTATGGAGGAGGATGGAATAACGGGGACATTTATAGAGGAGGACACTCCTACAGAGATCAGCACAGGTGGGTCATGAACACTAAATCCATTCCTCCACCCATACTGCTCACTGATTGGTCCAGAGTAGGGCGGGGACTGGGTGATATCAGCCTGTAATCCCCTGGTCACTTTCCTGAGCTGTGTTCCCCGTCCTGTATTCCTGGATTTCTCTCGGATAATCTTCCTTCTCTGTGCTGCAGACACAATTTATGTATCTAGACTGGATTTATGGAGGTTCTGGGGATCAGCTGGCAGCAAAATGTTGATTTTTCACCATAGACGTTACTAGACCTAGGCACCTGGGGCATGTGATTTGGGTCTTCTTCCCCATGCCCGGTCTAGTAAGATCTCTGACAGAACATTCTCCCAGGGTTCCTTGCTCTGTTGTCTGCTGGCTGTGCCGGGTGGAGGGATATGTCTGTAGTGTCTCAGACCCAAGTCACTGAGTGCAGTCTCAGGAGATGGGAGGCAGCGGTGTGGGATCTCTGCAACTTGTCTACAGTAAACATTTAATGTTTAACTGATTACTGAATACCAATATTATGAGTCCTGACCCTTACACTGTATTATTTTTATTGCATCATTACATATTCCTGACCTTGTACTATATACTCTATGTTTTACATTACATCATTCTGATACTGACAGTCCCTGTTTTATTTATTACTCTATGTTGTACATTCCATACCTGACTTCTGCTCTCCCCCTCCCCCCACTGCTATATATATACACATAGGACCCCTCTAAAGAGCCTGATATATCTCCTGTATTAAATTGTAACTGTACATAGTCCTGACCTCACTCTGTACATTCCATACTGCAACGCTGACTTTGGCTCCTATAAATCCTATATCCCCCCACTATAATATATATACACATTAATATGGATTCTCTTTTGTTACACCCCATTTCCTCCCAGCTGGACATTTTATATCGGATGATGTGATTGGAGCACAGACTTTTACATGGTGATAATAATGTGATAACATCCTCCAACTTTGGACCCTTAAACAGAAAGTGATAATGAGGGAGGAGTCAATACCCCAATGATGGTGGTCTTCAGGATCAGTCCAGTCTTCATCTTGGTTGTTCTCCCCCCATCCTCACTCTCTGACCTCTGGTGGGGCTCAGCCCCGCTGTTCTTCATGACTAAATCATGGACTAAATAAGGAAGTGCAGTACTTCTTGTGTTGGGAAGATGGCGATGAGTGATAGAGGGGGTGGGGACCCTCGTCCTATAATCCCCTCATCACTGTCCCTCCTATAAAAGACAGTTCTGGTTGTTTCCTCACTCTCTGACTAAGGTCCATGAATAAAGAAATGACCTGGTAGGAGATCAGAGGAGCCATTTCCTAGTTCCCTTGAGGGTGGAATTGTAAGCTCCTCAGAGACCAAGCTGCCTGATGTGGGCGGAGTCCTGGTTTGGGGGAACCAATCAGCTCCTGTCTAGTAATCCTCTTTGTCTTTGTATTTTAGTCCATGGCCGGAGATGAGGAAAACCTCCGAGGATTGTCTCACTTTGTCTCCAGACTGGAAAGTAGAAGATGAGGACATCACACAGTATAGTCCAGGAGAAAACCCGGCTCCCTCCAATGTCCATCCGGCACCACCCAGTGTAGATGGACCATCGGATTCCTCCTATCCTGAGGAACCTCAGACTGTGTGGGACCGGGCCGGCCTTCCAACACAGAAGAGCTTTTCCTGTACTGAGTGCGGGAAATGTTTCCGTTTTAAATGCCGTCTTAATGTGCATAAAAGATCTCACACGGGGGAGAAGCCACATTCCTGTCCTGAGTGCGGGAAATGTTTTTCAGACAAGTCCAGTCTTTACATACATCAGAGATCTCACACAGAGGTGAGAAGCCATATTCCTGTCCTGAGTGCGGGAAATGTTTTTCAGTTTTATATCCAATCTTTACATGTGCATCAAAGATCTCACACGGGTGAGAAGCCACATTCCTGTCCTGAGTGCGGGAAATGTTTTTCAAGAAGTCCAATCTTTCCACACATCAGAGATCTCACACAGGAGAGCAGCCGTATTCCTGTTTGGAGTGTGGGAAATGTTTTTAAAAAATCAGTACTTGTCACACATCAGAGGTCTCACACGGGGGAGAAGCCGTATTCCTGTTCTGAGTGCGGGAAATGTTTTTCAGAGAAGTCCAGTTTTTACAAACATCAGAAATCTCACACAGGGGAGAAGCCGTATTCCCTGTTCTGAGTGCGGGAAATGTTTTTTAGATAAATCCAGTCTTTACAAACATCAGAGATCTCACACGGGGGAGAAGCCGTATTCCTGTCCTGAGTGCGGGAAATGTTTTTCAGACAAGTCCAATTTTTACAAACATCAGAGATCTCACACAGGGGAGAAGCCGTATTCCTGTCCTGAGTGCGGGAAATGTTTTTCACAGAAGTCCATCTTTTACAAACATCAGAGATCTCACATGGGGAAAGCCACTTTCTGGTCCTGAGTGAGGGAAATGTTCCTCACTGAAGTCCTGTCTTCCTGTACATCAGGAGTCCCACACAACCCTGGAGGTGTATTAGTGCCTTGAGTGCGGGAAATGTCTTCTAGATGAATGTTGCTGGACATCCCAGCTCTCATGTGGGGAAGAAGCACACCCTGATATACACCTCAGATATACTCCATGGCTGATCTTCATCATGGAAGAAACAGTTCATAAGGAGATCAGAGGTCCCCAAAGACATGGATGAAGTGTGGGATTGGGTTGGCCATTGATAGCAGGAGAAGAATACAACTAGAGCTTTCTTTTGGTGGTATTTAATCACCGCCGGGGTTTTTATTTTTTGCTAAATTACCAAAAAAAGTCCAAAAATTTTGAAAAAAAAAAAAAGTTTTTGTTTTTGTTTGTTTCTGTTATAAATAATTGTTCTTCATAAATTTAGGCCGAGATGTATTCTGCTACATGTCTTTGGTGAAAATAACCCAAATTAGGATGTATTTTTTTCTAGTTTAGAGTTCACAAAAGTATGGTATAGAGAATATTGATCAATCCTGAAGTACTGACAGGTAAGAGGTCCAAGAATGTTGGACAGTACAGATATCCCCCAAATGAAACAGTACAGACCTCCAATGTCAGGACGGTACATTATCTCCCAAATGTCCAGGACGGTACAGATATCCCCCAAATGTCAGGACAGTACAGATATCCCCCAAATGTCAGGACAGTACAGACATCCCCCAAATGTCAGAACAGTACAGATATCCCCCAAATGTCAGGACAGTACAGATATCCCCCAAATGACCCCTTTTTATAGAGTAGACAGTCCGACGTACTTCATAAGAGGCATGGCGAGTTTTTAGAAGTTGTATTTTTTTTGTCATAATTTTTTGGAAAATTAAAAAAATTATTTTCACTATTTTTTTTTTTACATACTGTCACCAGTGCAGTACAGCGTCATCATATAACTGGCATGGCTGTGATCAGGGACACTGACTGGTAACAGTATGAAAAAAAAAATTATATATTTTTTTTTATTTTTTATTAAATTTGTTTTCTTTTAGTTAAGATTTTTTTTTCATATTTCAGTATGACCAAAGTAGTACAATGTTACCATAGTAACAGTGTACTACTTTGGGGAAGTGTTCAGTATTTTTTTTTTTTTACACAATTTTGCTTATAGCAAAAAATTCATTCAGGGTTTTGTTTTTTTTTGTGCTTAGCTGTGATTTGGCCACAGCTAATCACATGACATGTGCATGTGATCACTGTGACCATTCACAGCTAGGCAGTAGTATACAATGGATGGCATGAATGAAGCCGCCCATTGTATACAACTGTCATGTGACCTGCTGTGATCGGTCACAGCAGGTCACATGGTACCGGCAACGGGGGCGATACTCAGATCTGTCATCGGCCGTGTCTGAGGTACACGGCCGGTGACAGATCGCGCCGCTGCGCGGCTCTGCAGGAGCGCAAACTGCGCATGTGCGGGAGCACGCCATATGGCGTCCACCCGGAACGCTGATGACATTTGCCGCCTGCCATTCGGCCATAGGGCGGGCGGCAAATGGTTAATAATCATTGAGTTTTTTATTCTTTGTTAAATATATGAAAAAATTTGAGGAAAAAACTAATTTTTCTTAGTTTCTGTTATAAAATCTTGCAAATAAATAACCTTTCTTCATAAATGTAAGACAAAATTGATACTGCTACATTTTGTTGGTAAAAATTCCCCAAATCAGGGGGTGTATCTAGCTGTGGACCGGGATGGCAGCCTGATTCCAGAGCTCTGCTCTTTTAGGGGAATATCCAGTGGCTCACTGCACTTCCCTCTCCTTTGGCTCCAAGAAGGAGAGAAACTCCTGGACTTCACCCTCAGCATGTCTAGGAAGAAGACATGCCGTTTGACAGATTTCTTCTCCTCCTCAGCTATGCAGAAACCACAAGATGGTGCCGGAGCTCTCCACAGCTCACATACACACAGGCACAGCCGGCCACACACAGCCGCTAAAACACAAGGCAGAGAGAAACTCCTGTGGTTCTGATGGCCCTGATGGACAGTTCTTCTCCAGCCCTCCTGTTACGGAGAGAGGTCAGATACTTGCCTTATCCCCCGCTCATTCTCCAGGCCATCCATTATCCACCAGGCTTCCATGGAACCCTAAGGTTCTTCCAGAGGTTGCTAGGGGTTCCTTGAGCTGTGGTTCATTGACCTCTCATATGATGGTGCCTGTACAGTTCCAGGACCTGCACCACTTGGCAAAGCCACCAGTCACCTTATCAGCTGCCTGTAAGGGTGGTATTCTGGCCACCACTGTAAGGGTTGCATTCTTTCTACTGACCACCAACACAAAGGGAATTTTTGCCGTTTACCACCTAAAGTTGACTTAACCTCCTTAGCGGTTTTCCCGAGTGTAGCTCGGGGTAAAATTTGAGTACCAAGAGCGGTAAGCCCGAGCTACACTCAGGCTTACCATGCGGCGTTCTCCGGGGGTCCCTGCAGCACTTACCTTGTCCTTCGCTCCCACGATGCGTCCCCTGCAGCGTCCCCGGCCGATGCCGGCATCCGGTTTCCGTGTTCCGGTCCCTGTGACGTCGGGACGTACGGGCGCCGGAACCGGAGGGAAATTTGAAAATTACAAAAAATTAAATTTTTTCCCAAACAAATTTTACATAGTAAAACATTGCTGTTTCAACCCATTTCACATACATTTTGTCCCGAGTGCTTTGTCCGGCGCCTGCCTGCATTTTGTCTCTTCTTTCTGCCTGGAAACTGAGAAAAGTCCATGGCGTCCAAAAAGCGTCCCTTTAGGTCAAAAGCAGGTTTAGATCAGCTAGAGAACAGCGATAGTAAATCAGAACCACTTGCAGAATTGAGTGATAATGATTTGTGGGGAAATTTGAAATTTTTAAAAAATTTCATTTTTGCTGTCATTGCTGTTTCAATGCATTTCACATACATTTTGTCCCGAGTGCTTTGTCCGGCGCCCTGCCTGCATTTTGACTGTTCTTTCTGCCTGGAAACTTAGAAAAGTCCATGGCTTCCAAAAAGCGTCCCTTTACGTCAAAAGCGGTTTTAGAACAGCGATAGTAAATCAGAACCACTTGCAGAATTGAGTGATAATGATTCGTGGGGGAAATTCGTCATCAGACACTGAAAACGATTTTGCGACTTTGCTCAGTGATGTGCGAATTTGCCTCTGTATTTCAAATTTCAGTGTTTTTGGTTTGATTATTATTATTGAATTAAATTTATTATTATTATATTATTATTTTTTATGATTATTTATTAAATTATAATTTTTGATTTCGTGTTTCAAGTTTTATCAGATCCGGAATGTTTACTAGACTCTTGTTCGGACAGATTTCAGTGAGTTATTCCTAAAAATTACAGCCTACAATAAAAAACTACATATTTCCATGCCAAAAAATGTACCGCTTTCAGCACAAAAAATCGGAAAGAATCATACCGCCGAAGAGGTTAAGTGAGGGTTCCCTGAGACCTGAAAATTATTTTAGGGGTTCCTCTGGATTAAAAAGGTTGAGAAACACGGCTCCAGACAAGTCCCTAAGCCTAAAAAACAACACTGGGCTTCCTCTGAGGCTCCATCTTTGGAGGGGGACACAGCTGCTTCCCTAGCTGCATTACCTGCCTCTGACAACACTGTATCTGAACAAACTCTCAAACTTAAGTTGCTCATCCTCCAGAAAGATCTTCATAAGGAGCTGCAAACATCCACAACTCGTTTACACACCAGAATTGATCACTTGGAACATACACACTAACAATGTGGAGAATCAAGTTAGTGATCACACCAAAGCTCATAATGAGATGGAGGATGCCTATTAGCAACAAAATGTGGAAATACAACTCATGTTCAAAACTGCAGACCTAGAGGATCGTTCTAGGAGAAATAATGTTACCTTCAGAGGTATAACAGAGACCATCAAACCCGCTGAATTGATCTCTTATCTCCAGCAGTTATTTGTGAAACTTCTGCCTCGTCTTACACCTCATGATCTCACCATCGATCGGGTGCACAGGATTCCCAAGCCACACCATCTCCCTGCTTCTACTCCCGGAGATGTACTAGCATCATTTTTATCATATTAAAGAGCAACTCCTCAATGTCGCCCGTGCCTTGATCACACTACCTGAGCCTAATGCTCTATACATCGACATATCTGAAGCCACAGCTCAGCAGCATAAAGAATTCTCTCAGATGACATTGGTTCTCCAGGCCCATCAAATCCACTACAAGTGGGACTTCCCGACCAAGCTTCTAGTCACATAACACAATCAACTTGCCCCTATCCTCACTCCGAAAGATGGGACCAAACGCCTGCTCAACTGGGGCCTCATCACAGCTCCTCCGCCTACTCCCAAGCAACGTAAGCCTCCACCACTGCTCTCAATCTTGGAACACCGTAGTCAATGCTTCCTTCTCTGGACACTGTCTCTCTTCAGCATGATGCCCCTGGAGTCAGAGCATATCTTCATCCTTGGTACCTTGCAATACCACAGCAGCCCGCCAACACGTATCCTACTCTCCCTGAGCGTAGAAATGTTTGATTCTTGATACACCCCAGATGTTGCATGTGCTTTGCACATTTTGTTTTCTTGTTTCACTGGTATGTGGTTGCTTTTGTTGTGTGGCCTTGGTTTTTTAGTTGTTTCACACACCAACCTCTAGAGCTGTCTAGAGCTTTTGACATGTCTATTGGTTCTCCTGAAAGGTTTATTGATGTAATCTCTCTCTCCATAACTAAGCATTTACTTCCCTCTCCTTATCCATGGCCATTCTTATCACATCCATTAATGCTAAGGGCCTAAAGTCCCCATTCAAAAGAAACCTCCTTTGGAAAGAAGCACTCTCATTAAAGCAGTTGTACTATGTGTTCAAGAAACACACTTCTGAAGTGCTAAACCTCCATCCTGTACACATAAATTATTCCACCACTGCTTCTTCAATGCACCTAAAAAACACAGCGGGGTCATGATTGCC